CCTTATTTTTAACTAGATATTCTCCGTTAATCTACTATTCTAAAATATATTCTTATAATAAAATGTGGCTCAAACAAGCTCTAATTAGTTCTTAGGACTTTGGGTCCATAAAGCTAAAAATTATACTAACATCAACTACTAAATGATTGGGCAAGATGTTAAAATAGTGAAATTCCTTGAATATACTAAGTAATTTTAAATAAAATAAATACATTTTAAAAAGATATTTTAGCCTCTACATGACAAATTTATAAATGGTTTAATAAAAACAACAGTATTGAGACATATGAAATATGTAGATAATAATGAATAGAAGTTACGAATATGTTATTGAAATTAATGTTTGGCTTTTATTGAATTTATTAATTAATTATTAATTTATTTGTCAAAACAAAGGCTTAATCTCCTCATTCTTACAGTTAGAATATGTGTCATTCGAGACCCAATTACGGCGTTGCAGTTGGATTGACCAAGTTGTTAGTCAAATAAGAAAATCTCAAAGAATTAAATTTGATTGTGTTTAACTAAAAGCAACACTGTCAACTAATTTCGTTGTGACCTATAATCACTTAAACATTGCCGCATGGCACATCTCTAAGTGGTAAAAAGGGAAGGTAGAAAAATTCCAACTTTGCTTGAGGTTGCCGCATCAAGGGTTCGAATCCTGAAATATGGATTTGGCCATTGGGTAAGTGCAAGTGTACAATCAGCCTTCCACCATGTACCCTTGGAGGCATAATCTGCGATTGACCTCATTTATCAAGGCTCAGGGCAGGTGGGGGCCATCTGGGATGCGGTTCATCCCTTTTTAGAATCACTTAAACATTTTAATTAGAGTTCTTTACTCGTGATTTGAAATAGTAACATCCAAAAACCATAAATGTTGGAAAACTTATGAGACTATTATGAAAAATTAGAATAAAAGATAGTAGATTCAATCCGAAATGCCATATATGATTTCAATTTGTGCATGTTGGTTATCATTTTTTGATTTAAGCTTTATCAGCTCTTTGTTGAGTCTTCTATGAACTAGAGAGGCAATTGTGATTAAAGTATCGTTACGATCGATTATAATTTCGGCGGTTGACACTAAATTCTCTATAGCTTTTGTCTTTAATATTTTAGTAAAAGAATATGCTATCTAGTGGTGAGAACGAACCCATCAGCTCGGGCGGCCTATGGATCAACTAGGAAAAAAGTCCAAGACGAGCCAACTTAGAGCTCGTTTGTGCGAGTTAAGATCAGGCCAAGTCTCGAAAAAGATATTTGGCTGGAGCCCAAATCAACCAGCAAGCCGCACGAGCCGAAATATGAGTTGACCCTTATATGAACCCGTGAGGTCCCCTTTTCCCCTGCTTATGCAGGCTAGTTGTAGGCCAGTACTAATGCAGCATTAACTGGCCTGAAAAAGTAGGTTGGTATTAATACAAGTGTGGCAGGCATTTAGCCGATGGGATTCCCACCAATCATCACTTCGAAATAGAAATAAGATAAGATATGATTATTTGGGAGGGAATTATTTGAATTTCCATGCATTTCTTCTTTTATAGGGGAATATTTACAGATTTCCTTTAAAGTTTCAAGGACAATTTGGTCATTTTTGGAGAAATAACAGCTGGCAGCCTCTCATAGGTTGGCTTGTAACTGATTTCATTGAGTATCGTGTTTTGTCCATTAGCTCNGTGTTTTGTCCATTAGCTCACGTGTCTTGTGTTTATTGATTTGGAGTCATGCTTTAAATACTCACCTACGCGTGCTTTAGTAATGATGTTTTGTCTAGTCTTGTGTTTATTGATTTGAAGTCATGCTTTAAATACTCACCTACGCGTGCTTTGGTAATGATGTTTTGTCTAGTCTAGAAGTTGGAATGGCTCGCCTTTCATTTATGTGAGCCTTTTGTTTCTCATCCCTTGCATGGTGCTTACACTTCACAAATTGGGGACGAGCTCGCTGAGTAAATTTTTTGATTCAACAAATAGTTTTCGAAGTTCGATTTTCTTATTCATATTAAGCCCTTGTTTGGCCCCTATAATTTTTTAAAGAATGCGTGGTTAAAAAAGAAGAAAATGTTTTGGGGTTACAAGTAATATAATTTTATTGAAAAATG